CAGGCCAGGCGCCCGCTCTCCCCGGCTCTGTGCTGGACCCTGAGCTCGCTACAGCCGCCCCTCCCCAGCCAAGGGGTTGGTTTCGTGGAACAGCTCTGACTGCCACCAGGATTAAAACAAGTTTTTATTGGAAACGTTCACTGTACAACAGAGAAAGGGCTTCAGCGCTTTCAGGGAGCCTGTTTGCGGCGCACTGAAATACAAATAGTGTAGTGACCGGAGTGTGAAAAATCAACAATTGTCTCTAAATCACCGGCAGTTGATGCAGATCTCAGTGTCTACAAGTACCATCTTCCCTTAGGCCTGAAACCTGACATCGTGCTACTCTAGAAGTTGATCTCAGCAAGTTACTGGGCCTGCCGCTGGCCCTGTAACTCTTCACAGCATTTGTCTTACATTCAGTTAAGAAATGTCATTGTTGCCTCTTCAGGAAGTGTTGGGATTATCTCTCGCTCGCCCAACTGTTCCCCGTAGCATCTAAATAAAATGCCCATTTCATGTCCGTGAAGATGGTGGGGGTCAGCTCTGCCTTCTGGAAGGCGGGGAGGGGGGACGCTAGTGCCAGCCTGGGAAGGCACACGGTGGGGAACCGTTAGCTGGAGGTGGCTGGCAGGAACGGCGAGCCTTGCCCTAGCCCTAGAATTTTGTTTGATAGAAATGACCGAATGTTGGCAGAATTCCCGGCGTGGTGTTTATACCGGGGCTGACTTTGCGTATTGAAAAATTCAGTGATGCTGAACCCTGGGGAACTGAGTTTGGACGTGCCTGTTCTGCCTCTGAAACCGGCTGGTGGGAGCTGCAGGAGGTTTGCTACCGGTCCCCCCGAGCAGAGCTGCAGTCCCGGCGCTGGGGGAGCCCACCTCTGCTCTGCTGGGCCCAGCTCTGCCTGTCCTGCCACCAGCCTTGAGCGCTGGACAGACGAGTCTCTCGTTCCCAGTAAAGCTGCTCCTTACCCCACCAGCACCTCGGGAACGTGCCCCTGCGCTGAGGTAAAGCAGAGTGGGCTTGTGCGGATTAAAACGCACTTTGAAGTCATCTGAGGACACTAATTCCCTAAAGCACAAGCTCTCGTATGTTCCCGCCTTTAATCCCCTTTGCTGCTTCCACTGGAGCTGCCATCTGTCTTCAAAACTGCCCTATTTTCTGCTCCCACCCTGTCACGCCCTCAGCTGCTCATGCAGGACAGCTGCCCTTCGGCTTACTTTGGTAATTTCTAGAGCAAGCACCTGGAACCATGGAAAGGAAAGGGAGTATCTGGGGAGGGAAAGGAAAAACCTTGGCTTTGAGGTTAAAAATTAAGCATCGGTGACATCTGCCACTCCCCTGGTACCCAACAGCATGAGGTAAAGCGGGAAGGCCAGGCCAGGCCACTAGAGCTTGCACTGTGGGCTCTTGTTTCGGCATTAATTCCCAGCCAAAGAGGAAAAGACCCAAAACTTCCCTTCGAGCCCGGATCACAGCACAGGCTCCTCCACCCCACCTCGCCTACCACACGCCTGTCAGCTGCCAAGCAGCCTTCCTGCCAGCTACAAAGCCCAGAGCTGCAGCCCCCCGAAAGCTCAGGCCGAGCCCTCCGGCTGCAGCAAGTCGGTTCCTTCTGCCATCAACCACCTGACAGTGTTACCTGGGACCTTCCCACGGGCCTTTCCTGGAGGGTTTTTTTCCTGGTCTAGTGCCCGGGGAGCTGCTGCAGCTAGCTGTGTCCCCCCCGTGGCTGCAGGAGTCAGGAAACTGGGTCTCCTGAAGGCCCGGGTGTGGGTGTGGGGAGTGTCTCTCCCTCCCTCCCCTCTGGGCAGATTTCCTTCGGGCAGCCAGAGGCAGGATGGAAGGTGCAGAGCCTCGAGGAGAGACCTTGTTCCTTAACGCTTATCGTTACAGGAGCCCCAGGGAAGGCAGCTCTTGTTCCCCGGCAGCTCACTGTGACCCTGGCACAGATTTCTGGCGTTTCCCTTTGGACACTCCTAAAGGAGAGAAAAGCTGCAGCAAAGGCTCAGGGAATGCAGGGTGAATGCCCGGCTGTCACGTGCTCCCTAGGCATAACTTCTGCACGCCCTGGAGCTCAAACATCCAGCCAAAGCGGAGCAGCTCCTGTCTTTACAAACCTCTCCATCTGGCTTTCCTCTCCGGGAAGCTCCATAACTGCACGGCTTAGCCCAGCCCACAGCACTGCAGAGGGAGGCAGGATCACGATCCAGATCTCTCAGCCCCATCTCTGTTCCCTGGTGCTTTGCAGCTTTGTTCTCTACTGCAGTTGTGGGAGTGTTCCGATGGGCTGTAGCGTGGGCTTCGTCAAGCCTCTAGGAATTGGCACCAACTGCCCAGAGGAGGGAAAAGAAGGGAACAACCCAAAGAGGCAGGTGCTGGTGGCTGCGCAGACACTGCTGCCTCGACGCAGGGGAGTGGGTGCCCCCTCCCTGTCAGCTGGAGCTTGGCTGAGCTCTCCCGCTCCTCCTGGCTCAACAGCTTGGCCGTCGGGCTCTGCCAGCAGGTCTCGGCAGCCGAAATGGCTTTGTGAGGAGCAGGAGAGGGCATGACAGGGTTAACCCTGCAAGCACAGACATGCAGTCGGTTGGAGCATCCTCTAACAAGGGGATGAACAACCCTCAATGGCTCCCTTGGAGACTGCAGGAAGATCCCGAGCCAGAAAAGCCAAGTAGCTCCCTGCAGGAGAGGAACAGGGAGGAAGAGGAGGGCTAGAGCTGGCTCAGGGCCTGCCCCAGAAGCTCCAGGCAGCGGCTGCGAGGCAGGGACAGCAGGTGCTGGGAGCTCTGGTCAGTCCCTGCCTCCTCTGCTCTCCCCAGGAGCCAGAGCAGTTTTACTCCCACTACGGCAGCGTTGACTCAAGGGCACAGTCTGCAGGGAGCAGTTAAGACCAGCTGCCTCCACAGCTGGGGCAAGTGGGAATGTGCAATGAATTCCCTTTAAAAAAAAAAAAAATCATACAAAATTATTTGGCTAATAAATTAAAAAGTCACTTGGTCACTGCTGTGGGGAACTGCTGCTGTTCTTCCCGGGGTGGGGGGCTTGGGGGTGACCCTCCAGGGCAAGCCCGGGGCCAGAAGCCAGCTCAGCCCGGGCGAGGGGATTATTGCTTGTGTGTTCCCAGCTGGAAGCGGGCTTCCTCGGAGATCCCGTACTGCTCCAGGGGGTCCTGCAAGAGCACACGGAGGGCAGCAGTGAGATGCAGACAACGGGGTGACCAGCAGGACTCTCCCTCAACCAGCCTGTGCTCCAGGGCTGGGCACCAATTCCAGTCACGTGCTGGATTTACCCCAGTCCAGCCCCTGGCTGCTGCTACTGGTGCCGAAAGTCAAGCAGCCCCTGGGGGAGGACACAGGGGCCAGCCAAGGTTCACGGGCCGAGTTCAGTCCGGGCTGGCACAGGAGCGCACAGCCGAGCTGCCGCCACCTCCGTCGCCTCGAGCAGGGGCTGCTCCGAGGAGCCTGGCAGGGGCGGGAGCAGCACCTCGACCCACGTCCGCTCCGATCTGGCCAGGGCTGCCTGTGAACTCTTCCAGGGAACCGGTGGGAGCCTGGGCTGGCCCAGCCCTGCCCAGCTCCAAACCTCGGGCCGCTCCGCCGCTGGAAGAGCGCGTGTACGAGGGTCGGAGCTGAGCACGACAGCGCAGGCTGCTCGGCAGAGGAGGACTCTCGGGTCTGGCTGTTGAGCCTGTGGCCTCAGGAACCGCCTTGCGACGGGATCTCTTCCATACACACGGCAGCAAACAGCCTTGTGCAGGACAGCTGGCAGCAGCACCTGAGATCACCAGCCCCTGCTCCAGTCCAAACCCATCGGTCACCACCTGACAAGCCGACTTCAAAGGACTCACCTTCCCTGTCATTTTCTGGATCTCATTCCGGTAGAAAATCAAGCTCCTCCTCATGAACTCATAGCTGTAAGACAGGAAAAGACCATGCAGCAGGCTGAGCAGAAAAGGATGTGGAGAAGTTTCAGATGCTATTTAGAGCTGAAGGGAAGCTTGCTTGGGAGGAGACAACCGCTTTCCTCCCTTCACCACAAGCTGATCCCAGAAAAGAAAGAGCACAGAGCTCACAACGCGGACCTCGCACTAGTGGCTCAACCTACCTGGCTCTCTTGAGCGCCTCAATCCACTCCTGACACTGCTCTTCACTGGCACATTCGAAGCAGTATTTCCTCTCCGGCTCCTCGATGAAACCTGCAGGGATAAGGAAAAGGCTTAGGGGAGGTCCTGGCAGAGCTGCCTGCGCTCCGCTCTCTCCCTCCTCAGCAACAGCCAGACTCTGCCAGGCCACAAGGAACACCTCTGGTCAATACGATGATCTGTGAACGAGTTGGTAACCCAGGCTTCTGTCCCCTCTCCGTCACCCTGGGTGGCTCCTGCCTGGCCCGGAGCAGCTGCCTACAGCATTTGTCACCTGACAGCAGCCAAAGACTTCGGAGAAGAAAGAGCAACTTCTCAAACTGAGAGCGACAGCTTGGAACTGAACTGAACCAATACGGCCAGACTCAGGACAAACTCCCCGAGCCTCCTTGCGAACAGTCGCCAGGGATTTAGTAATCAAAGTGGAAAATGGCCCCGAGGAAGTGATTTTGATGTAGGCAGAGGGTGGCCATCTGAGGAGATACGTTGCGCTCAGAGGAGGCCCTGCCCTGTCTTTGCTCGAGGCTTTTGGGAATTTGCTACTGTGCACAGTGGAAAGCAAGTCCCTGCGCAACTCCAGTTCTTTACCAAGACAGAATCAGGGCATCTAATTAATTACACTGTCCCCAGAGCTCTGCTCTTTAGTCCACAGCCCACAGAGATCTAGGCTGCTGCCGAGGAATAACTGGGTCAGTCTGCATCAAACCCCTCGGCGCTACCGTGCGGGGACACAACCTGACACCAACTGCCACCGGTTTGAACGCTCCTCTCAGGAATCCTCCTTCACCAGAGCTCCTGACAGTCCTAAAGCCCCAGAAACTCAGAACGTGGGGCTGAGAGAGATCGGTCCGTTCAGGCTGTTTGAGGGTCCTTCGGAGGCGGCGAGAGCAGCACCTCTCCCGGCTGAAAGACGAGACAAGGCTCTGCGCAGAAAAGCAGCTGTGCCCGACAACCAGGCCAAAAGATACGGGGATGGCCTTGGAGAAACATCCTGTTATTTTCGCCACATACCTCTCGCACAATGATTACTTGTTGGATGAAAGGCTGCTGACAAAGGACGACCCACCACGAGCCAGCTGGAGCCGTGGCTATCAACACAAGGACAAACAGCGTGGCGGGAGGACAGGGGCTAGATTAGCCCGACAGATGGTTTATCTGAGGCTCGCTCGTTTTTGGATAAAATGCAATAGCACAGAAGCAGCAATCTGTCAGCCCCAAACCCTCCCAGAGAGGGATTTCCACAAGCACTAACCTGGGCTCTGGCGGTTGTTACCGCTTCACTCCTCGCAGGCAGCTGTGCAAATCGCACAGGCTGAGCCGGCGATGGAACACCCCCGTCCTCGGGACGGGGCACGGCAACGCCAGCGGAACAACTGGCAGCTGAGGAGGAGAAGGGCTGAGCGGGAGAAGGAAGGGCTGAGGAGCACGAACCCCCCTGAGGAGCACTAACCCACCCCCCT